CAAAGCTAAGAGACTGCATTATACACATCCATTATTATTAGATTCTTTGATATAATTCTTCTTCATAGTTACTATGTCAAACTAAAATTTGCTATTGAACTGTTTTTGTTCATCATAAATTATCTGATCTAGAGAAGCATTTGATAAGCTTAAACTCTGGAGATGAGAATGCAGTCAAAGCTGCGATTGAAGAATTTGCAGTGGAAGTCCAGCCTGATGAAGAAAGTGTTTTAAACAAGTAATAAATCTTAGTTGCTGGTGTTTAATTGTTAATTCCACTTCAATCCTTAACATTAACATGCAAAGCTCCATATCTCGATTCAATAACCTTTCCTTACCTTTCAGGCAGTCAATAATTGATGAGTGCTTCTCCAAAGATACATCACAAGGATAAGGAAAGGTATGATACCAGCTGGTTATGTCACTGTCAGGGTATGTGTCTTTCACTTCTATGAAATAATTGGGTTAAATTATGAAGTTCAATTTTGGTCTCAGAACATCACAAGGAATTATCATAACTATACTCAAATCTTGAAGGATTCTATGCTCAAATGACCCAAAATATAAATCACTATCCAAAAATAGATATGATTGTTATTTTTTGAATAGAGGAAGATCAATAAACCTTCATCTCAATCATCTCAATCCGCACTGTTTACTCATGCAAAAAAAGATAAAATTCTCTTTAGCAAAATTTTTAGTTTTCTAATTTCGGAAGAGAAAGTATCAATTTTGGAGAATGGTTTTTATTTTGGTTAATTTCACGAAGTGGTTGGAGCTCAAACCACCTGCCACCAACATGTTAAGGTGCTGAAATAGAGTTAGGCCTAATCTATGAAGGACAATTATATTGGTGATTTATCTGAGTTCTCTGGTGTTACTGGTTATGCCTATGTATCTCTAACTCTGTTATTTTTCCTCAGGTCGGATTAGCTCTTGGAGAGTTGCGAAAGGAAAATAATTTCCTAAGAAGCCTTTGGCCAGTAACTAATCCACCTTCAAGTCAAGAACATCTTTTACATCCTCAACTTTTACAAAAGCTTCTCCGTCGCCCATTCCTTGCTTGAGGGTATTTTGATGTTGCAGGAGTGTAAAACGTGATTCCATTAAGGACGTCGTGTCCTTTTTGTAATATATTGTGTAGATTATGAATATGTAGTGGGAATGTGGAGTTTTTGTATTTCCATTGTATTGCTTCCGTATTGCATTTGTATTGTCATCATATTGTCATTGTAGTGTTGTGGTATTGCCTGGTTATTACACTTATATTTGTTTCTTGTCACCAGTTTTTTCAAGTCTGTCTTGTGAAGGAACTTATAAGGATATTTTGTAAAAGGAAATGCTTGATTGTGTAAGTTTATTTTGTAAAGGAAAATGCTGGATCATTATCCATTATCATATAAATAAGGTACAAGAAGCACCGTATATGCATCTCTTCAATATGATTGATTCGTGTTCAGCTATTGGTGTAAGAATGTGATTCCATTATTGCTTATTTATTTATTATTTATTATTTATTATTGTAAGAATGTGATTCCATTAATGACGTCACATCCTTTTAA